CACAGTCACTGAGCTATGGGCAGGTAATGTTCATGTATTTTGCTTGGGGTGTTGTTCTTGAAATTGCTTTTACAAATATGGCAGAAACTAGGTCTACAACTGAATCTGTTAACTGTTGCTAAGTGTTATTTCTAAGATTAAAAATAGTTCACTGTAATTGGCTCATATAAACATAAAACCTTGTTTCATAGTTACCTTTAACTAGTCACAAACTGATGCAAATTGTTTCACTCTTAGGAAACTTTGTTAATGCCATTGAAACTTCATTTGCTTCTGGTGTTGGTTGGCTGATCACCTTCTGTGCTGAACGTGGGGGTAGGTGTATTCAATACTTTTCAAACAGGGCAAACAAAACTTTTGATAGTGGCATAATCCCTTTTGCTTTTAATAAAAAAAATACAAAGCATCTTAGATGATCGCAGTATTTTGACTGTGGGTCATTTAAGTTCAGTTTTAGAGGCAGTTTGACAAAAGGGACATTAATAGATTATGCTGTTGTGCTTCTGCAGCATCATGTAAGTCTAAACCAGCACTCAAGTGTAACCTCTGAGGAAGGGAACTGGCAGAACAGACCTTTATTTTCAGTTTCCAGTTTAAGATCAAATGACAGATACTGCATAGGTGCATGCCAGCTTGTCATGATAGCTGAGTAGAAGCAAGGATGTACTTCCCCTTTAAACCACCAATATGCAAAAATTAGTTGAATATTTTCTTTGAAGAGGTTTGGACCTAGTAATTGGCTCTTACCATTGATGTCATGACAGTGTTTAGATTTACATTATTTTTTCTATCTGTTTGTCACTGGCTTTCTTGCACTCAGTATTGGATACAGTATATGAGAAAGTTGCCTTCATTAGCTGGTAGAGCTAAGTAAATGTGCTACACCTTTGACAAACAAAGATTTCTCGGTTTTATGAAGAGACCTTTGTTCTGTGAACTGAATAACCAGAGCTGGACTTGGATTTACATCAAGTAGCAGTCCTTTTGTTAAGTTTTCAACATTGGTCCAGTTAAAGTGAGGTTGATGCATCTTATTTCGGAAAAAAATCTGCATCAGAAGGTCAACTATTCAAAGTCTGGATGGGTAATTAGAGCATATAATGTTTTTATTATAATGAGTTATTATTTGAATCACAGAAAATTGATATTTCCATTGAAATCTCATTCCAAGATGGTATGTAGTTACCTCTTCTGGGTTCTTTTTAAACATTAAGGTGACATTTGAAAGGTCAGTCTTAGTATAGCAAATAATATATTAAAATTTTCAAAATGAGAATTCTGTGTTGGTGACTCAAGGGAACATTATTCATTTTATTTTTAACTTAAGAGTAGACAACCATCAAGTGATGATTACTAGAGGTTACAACTTGAAGTCACTGAAATATCAGATGAAGAGCCAGGAAGCATGGCTCTTGAAATAGCATACCTTTGTAGGGAGGAAGGGGTAATTCTAAGCAATAGTAGGTTTAGTGCACTAATAATTTGAAGTTTTATGTTTGTAAAGAAATCATTTTTATTTTGCAGATTGCTTGAGTTACCAAACACGCTTTAAGCTAGCTGGCATGTTGGTAAGCAGCATTTCACTTTGAAAGCATTACCTGTTATACTTAAAACAACAGAAGGGAAAGCATCAAGTCGTAGCTAAAACTCTCACAGAATTTAGTGGAACCAAGATTTCACCCATTAATTTTCAGAAGAGTGAAATATTTTGACTTAGTAGCTATTGGAATAACTAACTTTTTTAATTTTCTAAAATATGAATGAATGTTAACTAATGAATTACAGTGTCGTTTCTTTTAATTTTCTAAATGTTATATCTAATTGCTTATGTTGGGATTTTCAAAATCATTTCTGAACCTGAAATTAAAAAATACTTTTTGGTTTTGTTTTGTGGTTGTGTGTGTTTTGTTGTTACAGGAAGGTCTTGTTAATGTAGGCTGGATGGACTGTGGCACCCAGGGTGAGCTTTGTGATAATTTAGATATCTCATCTAGTACTACAGCGTACTTCCCACCTGGAGCCACCATAAATAACAAAGAGAAAGGAGGTGTTTTGGTATGAATGTTTCTCAACCATTCTGTATTTAGATAAAATAAAGTGATGACAGTGACCAAGGAATGCATAAATAATTTCCACATTGACTATGTAGAAATGAAAATATGTTTTTTTTCTTCTTTCTTCTAAGCTTATACACCCTGGTATGAGTTTATATGCCTCCTGGCTTCTAAGTCAGGGATCCCTGGAGGTAGTCCCCAGTTTGCTGGTATGCTGGGAGAGCGAGCAGGAGCACACTGCAGTAGCAGCAGCATGTAGCTCTGCCTACCAGCTCCTTGGGAGCCTCCCTGAGCAGCTGTAGGAATCCAGGGGTGGCATGTGCTCTGTGACAGGCCCAAGAGCCAGTTCTAAAGCTGCTACCCAGCTACCCTGGGCAAGCTTGGGAGTCTCTTCTAAGTAACAAGTGATAGGGCAAGAGGAAATGGCCTTAATATGTGCTAGGTGAGGCTTAGATTGGTTATTAGGAAAAATTTCTTCACCAAAATGGTTATTAAGTATTGGAACAGGCTGCCCAGGGAAGTGGTTGACTCACCATCCCTGGCGGTATTTAAAAGATGTGTATATGTGGTGCTGAGGGACATGGTTTAGTGGTGGATTTGGCAGTGTTAGGTTAACAGTTGGACTTGATGATCTTAAATGTCTTTTCCAACCTAAATTATTTTATGATTTACCATGTGCCCCCAGTTTTTATTCCAGGAAGAATATGCCCCAGCTATCACAAGTTTGAGAAATGCTGCTCTGAAGGGAGTACTGACATGTGTGATAAAAGTACTCCTACAATGTCTGTCGGTACAGATTATGCTGTTTGGCTCTATTCTAATATTGCAACCTCCTCCTACATTTGTATGGGAGACATTTCTCCGCTTGAAGCATGGCTTGTTCCTTTATTGTCACTACTGTTACCTTTCAAAAGAGGAAATTAATTTGTGACTTACCTACTTTCAACCTTTGTAACTTACCAACTCTGAGTTACTGATTCGCATAACTTCCTAAATTTTAAAAATTACTGAAATTTAAATCTGTACGGTGCAGTTAAGGAATGCTGTAAGACTAGGTTGGAGATCTTGTAAACTTAATTGTAAAATTTGGTTTGAAATTTGAATTTGAGACTTTTAGCCCCTGTTTTGGCAAAATATGGTATCTTTAATATTGCAAGAAAACAAAGTAAAATGCATTATTCTAAGATTGATGTCTGTGATCAAATAACATACATAATCTTCAGCTGATGGAATAAATCAGAATAATTTCCCTGACACTTCGACTACTAACCATAAACAATCAAGGTGATTTTTGTAATTCCTTATAATAAATATAGCTAACTTTCTTTCCTAGTTTCTTAACTCCTTGGATGCCAGAGAAATATATCAGGAAGTAATGAAGCATCTGCCAGACTTTGAAATTATCTCTGCAGCATCATTAGAGGTAAATCTTTAAAAAATTTTAAAGCTTTCTTTAAATAATGTAAAATGTAATGATAAAAAAAATACAAAAATACATTTTTCAAATCCTGTTGTCACAGCAAACTTCTATTTATTTAACTGAATTTTTTTTTTCCTCTGTAGCCAGAATTATTTAACATGGTTTGTCTATGTTTGTTTAGCAAAACAACTAAAGTAAGGGGTGAGGGTGTATTTAATAGGAAGATAGAAAACCACAGAAATTGCCATTGCAACTCACTCTGCAATTGTAACATTCTTGTTACTTTTTACATCAACTACACTTGTATAGAACTTCACTTTGAATGCATTTTGTCAGTAATGTAAAAAAGAAAAAAATGCTTGTTAATCCATGATAAATTATGTATGAATTGAAATTAGAAGTCATAAAATTTCCTCATCTCTTGGAGAGAAAAAAAGACAAAACCTCGTTTCACACCTGTAGTAGCACTTAGCAGCTTGATCTACAATAGGAAATGCACATGGAAACAAAAATTATAGAGGGTGTTGTGGTTTGAGCCCAGAGGGCAACTGACCCACCACACAGCTGTTCACTCATGCCTTCCCCTCCCAGTGGTGGGAAGGAGAAAAAGGAATCAAAAAAGCTTCGGAATGGAGATAAGAATGGGGAGGGATTGATCACCATTAACAGTCACAGGCAAAAGACAGACTTGTTAGGGGAAGAAAAAGAGCATCACTTTAATTCACACACTAACAAAACCACTTGACAGACAGAATGGGACTGTGAGAGGTGTTACCATATCTTAAAAACACCTCCCCCCACCCCTCCCTTCTTCCCTGGGCTCAGTTCTGTTCCCGATATCTCCACCTCCTTCCTCGGTGATGGAGGGTGATGTCAGTCCTGCCACTTCTTTCTCCAGGGTTGGGGGGAAGCACTCCTGCATTCCGCCTGCTCCAGTCAGTCCTCCACAAACTCTCTCCATTGTGAGTCCTCCCCATGGGGTGCATTCTTCTCAAGATAGATGCCCCAGCATGGGTCACCTCCACATGTTGCAGTCCTCCCAGCATTGAGCTACAACAGCGAGGGCTGCTTCTTCATTTAGTCCTGGGAGCGTCTGCTCCACTGTCGACCTCCATGAGTGTCGGGGGGGTGGCCCTGCTGTCTCACTGTGGGATACACAGGGGCTCTCTGGTCTGGCACACCTGCCCCCTTCCTCCTTCCTTCCACTGACTTCAGTGTTTGCATAGGTGTCCTTCTTATAACTTGTCCTCAAAGTTCCCCACCTTCTCTCAGGCTCCCCTTAAATATGTTATCACAGGGGGTGCAGCTGGTGTCACTAATTGGCTCAGCTTTGGACAGAGGGGGTCTGACTTGGAGCTGGGGGAGCTTTCAGGAAGCTTCTCACAGGGGACCACCGCTGTAGCCCCTTCCCCTGCTACCAAAAACCCTGCCACACAAACCCAGCACAAGGATAGCAAGTAACGAGCTTATTTTCAGGCTTTTTCCTCTTTCCTGCTTATGATGCAGTAATAGGAAGTTTAGTGGAAGGACTACATGAAAGAATTTATTGAGTGGAGGAGGTCACTCCGAGATCAGATGAATAAATGGGCATTTGCCCTTATAAAATGAATTACAAATTGGTATAAGTTGGGAGTAATTTTTTTTTTGTCTTGTGTTTTTTGTTGTGGTTTTGTTTTTCATTCGCTTAAAGGACCGTCTGGCTCATCACCGATGGCTGCTTTTCTTCCAGTTTGGGGAGAGTGATAAATCAAATATAGAGGAATTTAAGAAACTTAAATTTTTGCTTAAAGATGAACATATTCAGGTAAGACTGCTTACTCATTATGTTAAATACCATTTAAATTCAGAAAACAAGGGGGGGTTTTCATTAATATTATGCTACCTCTGGTGCTGAAAGAGATATATTATCATGTGGTAGATCTGTATTAAAGCTTTTAATTTCAAGTAAGCAGTAAAATTTCTCCATGGTTTGAATAATTTAAAAGTAGTTACAAAAGATTATCCTTTGAATCTGCTCTCTCATGGAAAATGTTGTAGAACCCATTCAGGTAACAATTAAAAGTTAACACTTCAACACCAAATTGATGTATGTGAAACTGTGTTTGAATTATTCACAAAATCCATTCATTATCTTTGAAAAAAACCAATCATTATCTTTTAAAATGTTATTAATAAAAAGAAATCAAATTCAAACTTTGTACTGAAGACATATGGATAGTATTATTCTATAAGGTATGTATTTTAAAAAAAATTTGCCTGATTAGAATAATTTTAATGTCACATTTAGGTGTGTCTTTGTTTCCTTGCTCTTTTATTTGGAGGGGGGAAAAAAGAGTCTTCTTTAAGGTTTTATTCCCAGTTTTGACCTTTAAATTAAAAATTAGCAAGCAACCTAATATAGCTTGCTCTAGTAGTTTACCTTAAACATCATAGTTTGTCTTAAGACCTCTGTTGTTTATAAAAAGGCTACTACTCCATATATTTACTTTTTTTTTCTTAACCCTTAATGCCTTTCAAAATATGTTAATCTATATAAATTAAGATGCCTTATTTAACAGCCAGTGTTATTTTAATTAGGTTGGCAAGTTTGACTGTCTTTCCTCACCAACTATCTGCAGTAAACTGTATGTCTATCAACCTTGTTTAGCTGTCTTCAAAGGAAAAGGAACTGGAGATTATGAAATTCATCATGGTAAGGGAAACTTCGGCAAGTTTAAATCATTACATAATCACTTTGAGATTACACTGTCTTTGGCAAACTGCATTTGTTTTCCCAAAGAACAGTTTTATAGTTTTAATATTTGCTGTCTTTCCTCTGACCTTACTGTAGCCTTGCACAAACTTACTTCCTTTGGTTTGTTTTCTTTTTTTCCTGGGTGAGCAGGGATCAGAGATGTATTTTTGTCTTTACTATCCTGTCTATTTCAACGTCATTTACATAATTACGTACAAATGGAATCTCTGAAGCTGATCAGGACAGTGTCTGCTTTGGGTGGGATAACCAAAGAATGCTGTAAGGCACGCCCTTCATTGAGGCTTAACATGCTAGTTACACAGTGCTGCTAACTTGAGAAACTTGGATTTGGTTAATGTGTCACTGCACTAAAATTAATTCCATGTTTGGTGACTTCCATCCAAGAAAATCTATATTGAGACTTTTTACCTCTCACTTTCATTTCCAAAGTAGCAGTTTCCTTCCAGGAAAGGAAGGAATTTCACTGTACTCCTGCATACCAGTGAAAGGATTCAAAAATGCTGGTTGAAGAAGAATGGAGCCTGGAAGCAAAACTGTAGCTTGCAGCAATAGGTGTAGCTTCATCCAGAATGCAGCACAAGGGAATTATGCAAGATGTTCTCATTTCTCAGCTTCTGAAGTATTAGAAACAGCTAGATTTAAGTCAGAACCTCAATATGTAACAAAGGAGAAAAGTTTTTGACCACTTAAAAAAGATTAGTCGTATCTAAGGGGGAAAGGTGATCCCATACATCTAATGATTGCTGCTGGCAAAAGCCTTCTGTAATCTGCAATTTTCACTCCTGCAGATAGGCCAAGAAAGGGCCATATACATACAGTATTTTTATATCTTTTTGTAATGGCATAGATTACAAATAGTGTAAGAGAAATATATTGGACTACAGTACGTACATTCTTTTCTGATCGCTTTTACTATTTACAAAATAGATGGCATCTAGAACATTTGCCAGTAGTTATCTTGCTCCGGTATTTGTAACAATATAATACTCAGAAGAATTCGGGCTTTTTTCTTTAGGCTGTGTTGAAGGGCTTCAGCAGTGTAAAATCTAAGAACAGTAATAAATCTTGTCATTGTGCAGTGACTTCAGATTTAATTAGCCTGGAGTTCTTGGTTCATTTCAAGACACAAGCGCTTGTTTCTGCTGAAAAATATTTACGTGAAGGGTATGAAGAGACATGATCTTTGCCCACTGGAGCTGTGTCAGCAGGAAGTTCAGTTACATCTAAATAGCTGCGATTTATCAGTATCACTTATTTTGCTTGAAGTCTTCGCTGTGTCAATACCTTTGCCAAGGCAAGCGTATCTAGAATGGTAACTCTTTAATTCCAACAAATACTAGTAAGATGGTAAAACAGCCAATAGTCCAGTCACCAAAAAAAAGTCATTTTGACAAAAACATGATTTGTCTTGGAGAAAACATTTATTTGGCTAATATTGGGTAAATATTCAGTTTAATATTTAGCCAAATATCAACAACCTAGAGTGTGTCTTACCTATGCAGCTTTGGACAGTTGAACATTGCCTTCCTGAGAAAAAGCATGACAGTACTTGTTTAATTTATTTAAGCAGGCTATGTCTAAAGATCAGTCATGGGAACAAAAGGACTCCTGTTGCTATCACTGAATTTTTTTAATGAGATCTCTCATAGGGAAAAATAAAAGATTGTTTTCTACTTTATTATTTGAAGGAAAGAAGATCTTATATGATATTGTTGCATTTGCCAAAGAAAGTGTCAACTCTCATGTTATTACACTGGGACCTCAGAATTTTCCTGACAAAGAGAAGGAACCATGGCTTGTGGATTTCTTTGCACCGGTAAATATTTAACAGCTACATTTCCCTTCTTCTAAAATATGTTATGTCATTATGTAACAAAATACTAGCATTATCTTGAAAGTGTCCCTCAGCATCACGAGATGGTAGGGTAATTTCTCATTCCTTGGCAGCACTCATTCCTAGATTGTGTGGCACTTGTATTTAGTGGAGTCTGTGGTCACAGCAGCATATTATTCACCTCAAACAGCTTAGCTGTCGTGAAAGCCAACCGTGGAGAAAGCAATTGCACTTACTTGCATTTTGTTTTCTAGTGGTGTCCTCCTTGTCGAGCTTTGTTACCAGAGCTGAGGAAAGCATCAAAACATCTTTATGGCCAGCTTAAATTTGGAACACTAGACTGTACTGTCCATGAAGGACTTTGCAACATGGTAAGCTGCAGGAACTAAAAAATAAATAATCCTTTCAAAGAATATTATTTTCTTCTGGTAGGGTGATGGGGCAGATAATGCTTGTTCTTTAGTACTACTTTCTTAAAATGTAGTACACCTAACAGGACACTTGTTTCATAATTTTTTTTCAAAGGAGCAAGCTATGTAACCACTACAGATAACATTAATGCAAAATACAGGTCATCACATTTTGCTCTGATTTCATAGTGTTATTGGAAGACTCGAAGTGTCAGAATTTAATAATTCCTGGGTTTTTTAAGAGAAAAAAAGAATTTAAGCAGACCCAGGAAGTTTTTTTCCCCATGTGTATATAAATAGATGCATGCATTCTTTTTGTTCTTCACATAGGATAAAAATCAGTAAACATTTAAAAGTACAAGTTTCATATTGAAATACAACACTCCTTGAAGATGTCTGAAAAACCACTTCTAATTCACCCTGACTTTGCTTTTTGTTTTGTAGTGCTTAAGGGTAGAATTAATTTCAGATTGATTCTATTACAGATTCTATTACAGATACAGTAATTGAATAAAATTATTTTTTTGTCTTGACCAATTTTCCATGTTTAAATTTGCTTAACTTTTGCTCCACTCAATTTATCATGGTAGAAATTATTATTTTTTCTGAATTCCAGAAAATACTACATTTTGACAGCTTTCCTGCAACTGCACATTGTTCATGAGAGCTTTTTATGGTAGAATGTTTTTATTTTATCTTTAAAATGTGAATGTCTTAAAAGACATGAAAAATGAGCAAATAAGGACAAGCTTTTTAAAGTTTTATCTAGATGTATTTACACCTTGAAGACATCAAATCATGGAAGCATCTGTGTTCAATAGTAAACAACACAGTCATTCATACAGTACAAGTGTTTCTACCCGAAGACTAGGAATATCTTTAAAGTTAAGTCTTAGAAGGCCTGTGGAATAATTTCTGTATTTGTGGATCACAGCAAAAGAGCTACTGGCTGGTTTTTAATTCAGAACAAACCATGCCATCTCTGAATACAATTGGCACCTTTTCTGTACTGACTTGTAATGGTTTCAAATTCTCATCTGCATGCAAGTCTGAGCAGTGGTACTGTACAAACGAATACCAGCGGCAGTTAAAGGAACCTAAAGGAACAAGAAACCTAATAATTCCTTGCAATTTCTTATTGTCTGTTTTGTTAGCATAACATTCGAGCTTATCCAACAACAGTTGTATTCAATCAGTCTGATGTTCATGAATATGAAGGACATCACTCTGCTGAGCAGATCTTGGAGTTTATAGAGGTATGTAAATTACAGTCCTTGTTGCAGTAGTTCTCTATATGCAGCTCATTCACAAATGTGTTCTTTAGTTGGAAGATTTTAATTTTTTTTTAATTAAGTAGACTAGTAAGATAAAAAGTGAAAAAAGAGTTCTGGCACCCATCTTCCCTCCAGCATTCAGGTTCTCTCACTGTTATATCCGCAGGCTATTTTCCACTTTTGAAAAGACTGTTTGTTCTCTCCGGGTAGCCCAGGAAAAGTATGTTTAAGAGCACACATGCAGGAGCAGGTGGAGATCAGTCTTTTTCAGTTGATATTGAGAGGCCCCTAGTGTACCACATGCATTCCTCTGCATGCCAGCCTAAATAGCATGCTTGAGTCTCATAATGCTTGTTCTTGCCAGATAATCTGAATTTCTTGTCTTTTACCTCCCTTTATGGAGGAAGAAGTAGAAAACCTCCCTTTCACAGCCTGGCTGTATTTTTTTTGATAGCTTTTCTCAGCAAATCAGGCATATGATTAAGTTGAAGGATAACTTTTGATGCTTGTATGCCTTTCAGTGGTGTGGAGTCTTCACTATCACAGCAGCAAGCAAATTTCACTAAAAGAACATTCTCAGAATCTGGTGCAGTCTGTTTGTATGTGATGACACTAGATACAGGATAACTTACTGTTGCAAAGTACACATCTGTAACTGTCTTTACCTTAGGATCTTAGGAATCCATCAGCAGTTTCCCTAACACCAGAGACATTTGTTGAATTAGTTCAGAGACGAAAACGAGAGGAAATCTGGATGGTTGACTTCTATGCTCCATGGTGTGGACCTTGTCAGGCTTTAATGCCAGAATGGAAAAAAATGGCCAGGGTAAGTTACACTCAAACATGACACTTTCCTGCTTTTGTGTCCTCTTCTGTGGAATTATTTGAGATGGTACAACTGCTATCTTAGAAATTTATCAACTGAGAAAATCTAGTGATTAATACTGTGAACAAAACAGGGAATTCCTACCTGGCAGTTTTATAGTGTTTCAAATACAAAGTTTTTGTCTTTCTTTTTAAAGCTTTGGTACATTGATACTCTAATCCAGTTTTTGCTGTTGAAACAAATATGTTTTCCAAGATATAAGAAACTTTAGAGTAACTAACTTTCCTTGATGCTTAGTGCTTTATATAGACAACAGCTCTGCATTGGTTTAAAACAAGATATGAAAAAAAGATTTATCCATAAATTACATAAGTAATGTTATTTCAACCAATTCTTTATTCTCAGTATTCTTTATGATCATTAGTCATCTTTAAGGTAGTGTTTAGACCTTGATGAAACCTCTGACTTGAATTTCAGATTAAATGAGTTCAGTGTTATCCATCTGAATTATTTCTTATATTAGGAAGATTTTTTTTCTGAGATCTTTTCTTCACTGAAAGTAAATAAATGTTAAATACCATACACTCTAAGGCTGATTGTCAGCTGAATTACACATACTTCAATATGGAATTGTTGGGATTGGGGAGGGTCTTTTTGTTTTGCAAAGCCATTACAGCATTCTCTCATTTATAAAGCTAATATTACTTTACTGACAGCCATCTGGGTTTTCCTGGACATGTTTCCAGGAATTTGAACTAGGAACTCTGGGCCAAAAAACCCCAGGGCTTTGGAAACAAGTCCATGATTTTCAGACATTTATAACTCAGCTAGACTAGGAGTTCTAGCTAGGATTCTATTATATTCTGGTCAAACGTCTGTGAAGCATTAGTAGCTCCACAGTACACATTCAGTAATGGTCAGCTACTCTGCCCATGCCAGGTGGTTTAGGCCTCTGCAACAAATACAGTATGTTCCAGTCACAGGCCAGCTGTGCAACCAATAGCACATCTGCACTGTACCAGAATCTGTTGCAATTACTGAGCCTATGGTATGAAACAGGATAATACAGTGGTCCTTATATTAAATAATCACCCTCGTACCTTTGAGGCATGGTGCCTCGTGAGCCACCTGTGTGTAGCTTATACTAAAATATATGTTCATGATGGGAATGCATGTGGGTGGCTGCCTCCCATTAGATACCAGTGACCCGTTTACAGGAAAGAAGAAAGCCTTGGGATAATCTTGGTTTGTTTTGTTGGGTTTTTTTTTCCCCCCCTAAGTGATTAAGACTTAAATTCTGAAGTATTACTGAAATTGTAGTAATGTTAATTAGCATCTTTGATCATAGGCTTTCTTGGTTTTTTTCAGATGTTAAATGGATTAATCAGTGTAGGCAGTGTGGATTGTCAAAAATATTATTCTTTCTGTCACCAAGAAAGTGTTCGGGGATATCCTGAAATAAGACTCTTTCCTCAAAAATCAAACTCGGCTCATCAGTATTTGTAAGTAGCTTGCTTCAGTTTAGGAAACACTAGATGATGTGGAACAAGATGAATACACATTTTCTGTTGTCTAGAAAAGGTTCATCACAGCTATTAAAATAGGCTGTTGCGATATTACTGTCCTAGATGTCGTTGACTTTGTTACCTCAAACTAGTGTCATTTTAGTTTGCCATGGTATTTCAGTAATTTGAAGTGAGACTGCCTCAGGAATCTTAATTTTTATGTCTTTTTGGTCAGTTTTCTAATTTTCTCTTTAATTGCCTGTTAAGGTAGATTGTTTAAAATCATATAATATAAAAATATTATGAGGCCTAATTGATTGCAGCTTTATCTTTAGAGAATAGTGACGTAGCCATCTGATCATCCTCCCTGCCAACAGTCTGTTAGCACCATTGTGAAAATTGGCCATTGTATATCTAGTAATCCCATTCAGTGTATCATTAGTGTAGAAATATTAATAATTAAAAAAAAAAGAAATCTGGGGAAAACCAAACCGCCTGTCCTCTCCATTTCACAGTAATGTTCGAAGATTCAGGGATTTCCGGAAGCACACGCATATTTAAAGATGGGTAACCATCTGAAACAGCAGATCTGTTGCTTCATTATTTTACAAATTGTAAAGTTCTGTTAAATGCTGGCAGATAATAAACTATAATGCCTTTTCATCATTGTGTGTAACAGCAGACTTCAGTAGTTTTCATCATTGGACTGCTTGTTTTTATTCGGTTCTTCTATATAAGGTTTCTCTTAAAAGCAGGCTTTTTTCCCTTGTTGAAAACAAGTAAGTTAGTGAATATGACTGTCAAGTGCCAAATTCCTAATCATGAATCAGCTATCTCCTGCAAAAATTTAGAAATTTGTCTCTTAAAATAAAGATCGCCAAAAACTGTCAAGTCAGATTTTGATCAGGTAACCGTACTGAACAATATTTTGTTACGAAGCTGTAAAGTAATGGATATGAATCCTGAGTTAATCTTTTTTTTTTCCTAACCCGTCTCTGGAATTTCAAAACTAAGCAATGTCCTGAAAGTCCAAATAATAAATCCTTAGCCAAGTAACCAATTTGTCTGGCTTTTCTACTGTCAAATTGAGGGAAATGTATATAATTGTTTTATTGTAATGAATGACATCAACTAGAAAATATATTAATATATTTCAATTTAATTCTCATGTTTCTTAGAGCCTGAAATTTTATCTGGAGTCATTACTAAAGATCCTTCATTCAAAATAGTTCTAGCTATCAAAGTTTGTGTCCTCCAAACCAAGTTTCCTACTCTCGTGACACAGAATTTTCTTTTCTTCTCTTCATCTTCTAGTCCTTAATTCTGTATCTTTGAACTGTATTAATGAGACACTTATTTGGATTTGAAAGCAAGCTAGAACTATATCTTGTACGCATTTAAGTTCGTTCGTTAACCATCTCCACTCTACAGAGTAGGTTTTTTTTCAAATGTATATCAAACCACTGTGCAATTAGATTTGTTTTCAATATTTTTACAGTAGCTACAATGGATGGCACAGAGATTCCTATTCACTGAGAGCCTGGGCATTGGGGTAAGTTACTTCATTTAACTTTGTTCACAAGCCACTTAGAGTTCACTCGCTTGGAAAAAATAATACTTAAACGCTACGTAAATCAAGAATTAGAAACACTCAGGTATATGTATTGCTTAATTTAATATTTTAAAGTTTCCACATCTTTTAACTCAAGCTTTTAAAATGTGGAGAAATAGCATAATCCTTACTGTCCAGCCATTTTCTGAAGACCATATTATTATTTTGTCTACCACTTTAAAAAAGGGATTCTTTTGTAGTACAAAGTGTAAAGTAGGGACCTCCAAATTACTGATACTCTTAATTTCAGAATTTTTTCTTGTGCTTAAAGGAAATTTAGATATGCTTAAAGTTTTGAATGGATTATGCCTGTTCTTCCTTTCTACAGGTATCTACCACAAGTGTCTGTGGACCTGACTCCTCAGAGTTTCACAGAAAAAGTTCTGAATGGAAAAGATCACTGGGTCATTGATTTTTATGCTCCTTGGTGTGGACCTTGCCAAAATTTTGCTCCTGAGTTTGAGATCCTTGCAAGGGTAGGTTTTTAACTGTATTAGTGGACTGTTTTACTTGTAACAGTGAAAATATAATTAATCCACACTTTATTTCTTATACCCCAAGCAAGCCTCTTTCTCATAGAAGGTCCACGCTTTCAGGGCCAACATGCCAGTGGGTGTTGTCTCTTGCGTGCACACACACACACACCCCCCCTCTTTTGAGACAGATTTCAGCTAATGATGGGGTCACCTTTGGAACTATGACATGCCTTGCCCTGAATTCAAATCAGAAGAACACATAGTGACTTCTGATACAAGTCTGAGAAGCAAGCAAGCAACTACTCTGAAAAACTGAAAAGATCTAGCAACACTTTTTGTTTACTTTTAGTTGCACTGCAGCTTCTTCAGGTCACTTGCTTACAGTCACCCATGGAGCTGTGCAGTTTGTTTCTAATAAACATTTCTTTTTAGATGGTTAAAGGAAAAGTAAAAGCTGGAAAAGTGGACTGTCAGGCATATGCTCAGACCTGTCAAACTGCTGATATCAGAGCCTATCCTACTGTTAAGTTTTATCCCTACCAAGGAACAAAGGTAAAGTGTCTCCTTTTGTGTATGCTGGTGAGCAGGCACTGTTAGTAGATGTATTTCATTTCACATCAAGATATAAGAGACTATTTCTGTAATGTGTTAAAGTGCATTACTTAGATATTCTGGAGATACAGCAAGAATCAATTTCAGTCATACTTCAAATAGGACAGTAATACAGTAATAATGTGTTATTGAAAAATAATAAATTATATATTAATAGAACAATAACTAAAACATGGGCTTAACCAGAACCAGGGTTTAATTTTGCAGGGGTCTTGTGACAGAGTGTTTTTCAACCTTTACCAATTCTACCACCAGCTACCAGAAGCAGGCAAAGCCTCTCTCTAAGTGAAATATGGACAATTTCATTTTGGCTAAAGAGAAATCCTCTTTCAATATAACCATAGCATTTCGTTATGATTTTGACTTAAGAAAATTGATAAAAAATGTTTAGTTGTGTTCTGTCTCAAAACCAAACCTTATCAAATATTTCAGTTATCAGTGTGACTGAGATCAACATTTCCTACTAACAGATTAGTAGTAATAAATGAAAAAAATGAAAAGCATCCAGGTGGTTCTAGGAAATGGCCATTATTTGTGTAAAACTATTAAATTTCAAGAATATTATAGCCATCTTTTAATGTATTACTGTGAAAAGAAAGTATTAATGCATTCTGATAGTCAAGCCAATTCTTTAAATTGTACTTTCCTTTTCTTTTTTTAACTGACTCTCCTATGGGAAATTCTAGAAACCCTTCCCCACATAATCCATCAAATTCAATGAGACTTCTGTGGTAGAGAGTAATGGCTTTTCAGGTCTCAAAAGTAGCAACCCACACTGACAGATTCCATGAACACAGATTACAAAGTGGCAGACTTGTAATGGCTGTCTACATTAAATACTTAACTGAATAAATGTGATAAAATTATAGTTATTTCAGGTTTCTCTAAGTATCAAGACAATATTTGTGTAGTTTTAAAAACTAGCAGCTAAGAGTCGTTCCTACTATAAAGACAATTAGCACTGTTTAAACAGAAACAAACAAATATATCTGTGAATCATTAATCAACCTACCTGAGCCATTGTCTTCCTCCCTGCATTCCTCCGGAATTTTAACGGAAAGCAGATTTTCCTGTTCAGTGTAGAGCATAATAATATTATACAACTTTTTTTTTTTTTCAGAAAAGTATTCTTGGGGAATATATAGACAGCAGAGACGCAAAAGGTATTGCTGACCTTTTGAATGAAAAATTAGAAGCAATTCAAAATAAAGGAAAAAGAAAAAAATCTAGAAATAAGGTAAGAATACTTATTGTTGGGTCTTTTGCAAAAGACAGCTGTTTAAAATTATGTTAGCATTTGCTCTTTATCTTAAGTATTAAATGCCATATCTTCAAATAGTACAATGTACATTTTAATTCCAGTCTTGTTCTGCTTATTATTATTTGCTCAAATTTGATTCTCCATATCCACTTATGTAGCAGAGAGTACTGAAGTTGCAACATCTGTTATGGCAAGACTTGGCAGAACTTACAGATATCCATGGGACAGCTGTGTTAAAGATAGAGGGTTGAGAGACAGTGTATCCTAAGTGTAAGCCTTAGACTAGATTTAGCAAGGAGGCACCAAATTACAGAGGCTGATTAATGCAAGACTGAGATTGATGTTGTAACTCAAAAGATAATATACAGCTGTTAAGAAATACCCTGAATTTTATTTAAGAAACAATTTGTCCAGTTGAAAAATAAGCACTATATAGAATAATCTAAGAGGAAAAAACCCTTGATAATTCAATTTTTTCATTTGTACTTTGAGTGTAACTTGTTTTCTTGTCACTAGGATGAACTCTAAGTGGCACTGGAGGTAGATAAGATTGCAAATATTCTGAAGCTGTGAAAGTGGAAGACACCATGAGGAAAATATAAGGCTGATTACATTCATGACAGGATAAAAGAGATGAAAACTAGCTTGAGTTCCCAGGCATATGTGACTATGAATTCTGTTAAACAGTGCGGAGATGAAAGCGTGTTGGTGGAGGCATTCAGTGTTTCTGCAAATGAATTCTGCGTGTCCCTCTTCTGATATACCAACTACAAACATTGGAGCTGACCAGAAATGTGGACTGTATCACTTTTGCCTACCCACTTACTAGTTCCTTATCTTTTTCTGTCTCTTCAAACACTTTAAATGTGGCACTCAGCCTGTGGCTGAATATGCACTCAAACCACTCTGCAATGCAGAAACACAATGAGGGATTGTCTGTTTGAAAGACAAACAGTTTTACCTGATGAATATTCTGCTTTGGGGTTGCATTATTGTCTAGTCAGTTGTTAAACAAAATGAACTGGCAGCAGGATAGGTTTATTGAATTACATTGCTCCTGCCCCTGAGTAGATTGTCTTGTGGCACTGGTGGTGGTGCCTGGATGAACAGAACTTTGAGGAGCTTTAGTGGTTTGTGTTTTCCTTTATTTTTTAAATAAGAAAAAACATCAAGGACTTTAGACTCAGTGTTTCATTGACTTTCAAAATTTTAAGTTATGCCATAGAAACATCTGCTTAAGTTATTAGGTCATAACTGTATTGTCTTTTTTACATATGAATGTATTCTGTGGATATATTTAATCTTTTCTGGTATTACCACTTTTCTCTGCAGACATGTTTTGGGGGTTTTGGTTTTTATATAATCTTTAGGCAAGCAGGATAGCAAGTGCCTTTTAATTTAATAATGAACACTGTACATTGCAATGTCTCCTCATTCATCTTCATAGAATTTCTACTCTTTCGGGTAATGTTTTTCATAGCTTTTCAATAGACAACAAAATGTCTGGTGTTCAAAATATTTCACATTTTCAATAAAACGCTGAGAACTCATCAGATGGATTTCTCCCTGCTCTCCATGTATTTAGATTTGACTAGTCACTGTAGTGTGAGTATTATAAATTTGTAAATATGTTATCTACAAGTAATTTATTTTATGAAGGAGGTAGCAAGAAATAAAAGGAACAGATTCTAGTGAATGAGACATTCAAATGCTTCTTCCCCTGTGTTCAGGGTTGTCTGTTGCTTTGTGGTTTTGTAGTGCATTAATCTGAGAGAAAAGAATGTATTGCATCTTTTAATAAACCATACATTTTCACATCTAAATCAAAATTCTATCACAGTCAAAAGTGAAAATTTTGGTATTTGTGACAAATACAGACTCTGTTTTGGTCAGTTTTTGTATGTATGTTTATAACTTCAATTCCCACTTCCTACCTTCTTGCTGGAGAATGAGGTTATGGTTACATACTCCAGGATCCTGCTGTTAAAAATCAAATAAAAAATAACCTAGCATAGGTATTTGTACAGATTCTTTATTCCTGTGAATGTACAGTTTTCCTCTTATTTCTCCTAACAGGAACAGACTAGTAGGACAGAAAGTGCTTCACAGCCATCTAAGAGCATGGTACCAGCCTTCTGGCTTTACTATGGCTCTAATCCTACTTTAGCTTTTTGTTAAAAAGTTATTTTATCACTTCCTTTTGGTTTAGTCACTTGAAGTATATAGGTAACTACTAAGACAAGACAACACTGCTCTCCTCATCAAAATATCCTGTACACAGACTTATATTGTCAAGGCTACTAGTTTTGATACTCATTTAGGCTGTGAGGAATAAGATTTAGTTTAATTGCTAATAAAGTTTAAGATGCAGTTCTACATTATGATATTCTCTTTGCATCCAATTTTTTAAAATTCCTAAGCTAAAACCAAAATGGATGCATATAGATAAAAAATGAGCTTCAGAACAGAAGGAAACAGCTGTAGATAACATCAGTTTCTAAGTTTTTCTAAGTTTCCATTGTTTTTTTTGCCAGATTTGACAGTTTTCAGGAAGCAGCTTTGGGGAAATGCAGAGTAAACTCTTGCCTTTATTCCTAGCCCTATAAAAATGTATTTTATACATAGTTGTATAGTTGTTGTCTAAGGACAAATTCCCATAATGACATGATCCATTTTTTACTAATCAGGGGTTTAAACTGGTTCTTCAAGACACAAGAACATCCTGAACTAGCCAGGTCTTTTAGTTTTTTCCTGCAGAATCATGGAGGTGTCAGCATTGCCTCATTCTTCAGAAATCAAGTTATAAAAAAAAACCAAAACCAAACCACAAACACCCCCCACCACCAAAATCCACACAGAATAATCAAAAATCTCTAGCTGTGAGGAAGAATTGTACTGGCCAACAAATATTTTGGAATGTACTCCCCCAATGCCAGACAGTTCAAAAGAGTTAGAGTTGTATCTTAGTAACTGTTTTGATACTTAAAATTCCTATTTTAAAAGGAAAACCTTCAAATACACATATACAACCAATAAACCAAGTAGAAGATAGTACCTGAATGAATGCTCTGATTTTAAATATTTCATCATTCCTTAATTCCTCCTCTCCTAAATTTCAATTTTACTCTCATCATATAACCCAAGATTGTTCCACTTCTCCTTGAGGATACCTAATGTAGATAGCATTTATTATCCTTTAGCCTTCACTCCTTTCCTAACATCACTCTAGTGTGATTGTTCAACTGGGTGGACAAGCATGATGACCTAGAGGTTTTGACTGAATGCTACAAAACCTCTCAAGTCAAAGCAGAGCACAAGCACTCTCCAGGGCCTGGATTGCTTAGGTCTTGCAGGGGTATTAAGTAAACATTGGCAGCCTTGCCAAATTTCTCAAGTTACATGCATCAGACCACAAGGCTGGCCTTGTACCTTTTCCTTCTCATGTAACTACACATGGACAAAGCAAGGGCAACACATGATAAAACACAAAACACATTTATGCTACACAGTAGGAGGCATGTATATATGGAGGCCTAATTGCTTGTAAATTTATTTTTCACATCCCATTTTGCTTTAATTAAAAACTTCAGTGGCTGTTTAGTGTCACTGAAGTGCTTAGCTGTCATGCTTTGTACCAAAACAACAAAGTTTCCAAGACACATTTGGCTCTTTTAGCTTCTACTGCTGCTAAAAGCCATAAAAATAGAAGATATGGCAAAAGTTTTAAACAACATATTGTTTTTATGTGGTCTGCAGTTGGAAAGATCATGTTTTGATTATACTTGGCAAGTTTAATTTTTTTTTCCATTCATGGGCATGCTTCAGGTTTAATTAGTTGTGGAAGTTCCATATATTTTTATCAGTTTCTAAAAAGACTTAAAATTACTTCATACTTTAAAAGTTCTCAACAGGAATGCACAAGAGCTTAATTCATTTACTGAAACTTTGCGTCTGAAAACAGTGATGTTCCAAATACTTTCAACCTTGGACTGTCTCTATGCTAGAATTCATTACTAATTCTTTCTTCCATCTGTATGTAAGCCACCACACTTTGGATAACAAACAGCTAAAGGCAAATCTTCCACATGATATTAAATATTTACCCCCAACATTAAACAAGAGTCCTTGTCCTGATCATTTTCTAAGCTCTAGACTTCTCTATATGTTACCAGCTGCAAACAAAAATTAATTAGTTGGGCATAAAGAAGAATGCTTCCTAAATAAATGTTTATGATCAGTGTATTCTGCAGACTATTGACTAATACTACAAGAGTCATGACTGTTAACATTTGCCATGTATTCTTCAAGTTAACACATCCAGTAAGAAAACATCTACCTTATTTAAATGTCAATGTTTCAAAAGACATTCAAGGCCTGAAATAAGTAGCGGTTGGGGTTTTTTTAGAATATGATAGCAAAAACAAGTTAGCTCTGGTGAATTCTTACTATACAACTGAGCTGCAATGGGAAATACTGTCTTGGTTCTCTGCTTTCTAAGGCTTAAGGGTCAGAAAGCAGAATATTTTTTCCATAAGACAGCTCAAGTTTACATGAAGTAGAAGATAGAGTTTCTACATTTTATAGGCTACCATAAAGCCACATAAAAAATGACCATATTCTTTTCTTTTCCATCCTTGTCAAATACCAGACACGTTAAGAACCCACTTTAACCAGAATTGACTTCAGATCCTTTCAGCCATTAAAAATTCATATGGCCGACCTGGAGTTTCCAGAAAACAACTTTTTTCCTATAATATGTGCTTTATATAGTTTTTATAGTCCTGGTAGAAAAAGAAAACATTTTTTTCCTCTTGTTACATGCGTATGTGTACATTAAGCAATCCTAGTTGTGCCATCCTAGATATATAGCGATTCCATCAGGTAGCTAGTCTTTGTAGTGTCAGATGATCTCAGCTAGCTCATTAAGGGAAGCCCACATCCAGGACACTTAACGTGTTTCATATTTGCTGAGGCTATATTAGAAAAATATCCTATGTAAACAATGGAGAAAAGTTTCTTTAATCCCATCCTGTCTCTGCAACTGTAATTCAATGCTTTCTTTTCAGTAATTATGTTCACTTACTTTATTATCCTGCCTTTCATCACTGGATCATTGGGTCTTGAACGACTTTTGTTGTTCCAATTACATACTAGAGTAAGTGAACTGTGTTTATAGCACACAATTTTTCTGTTCAGCCTTGAGGCTGGAACAACATGGAAGGAGTACCGGTATGCCTGGCCAGCCACTAGGGCCAAGAAGTGCCAGGTAATGTGTCCTATTTGGCTTTGTTCTTTTTCAGCATAAACACACACTCGGGCAGCTGCAGCCGTAGGGTACCCCTGTTCCACAGCCACTGCTGTTAGAGTAAGGCCCATGCGGGGAATTACAGCTGTAACAACATAGGTCTTTGTGCTTAAGGCATCATCACACAAGATGTGGTAACTCTCTGTAGGATGTGGTATCACATGCACAGCTGCACTTGGTTCAGCTGAGACAGGTAGGCACTTTTGTCACCTTTTTATCTTTCTGTTCTCAAAGTGCTGATGGGTAAGATACATAAGTATATAAGGTATACAAGATATGTAAGCAGGTAAGTATGCATGTGCACTACACAGAAAAGACCAGATTCTCACAGGACTTCATACTTGTATTTCCTTAGCTGAGAATAAAGGGGTGCCATAGTAAATACAGCAAAATAGAGCAGAGCAGAAGTGTTTCCTGCTGTTTAAGACTGCAAGAGTCTTAACTGGAGGTATTCTGCCCAAGTTTTACTTCAGAAACGTTACCCTGTTGCAGAATAATTAGTAGATCACAGGGACTTAAAAGGCTAAAAACTAAATACTGCAAGTACATATAAGTACTTAAAATGCCTTTAAAGTTTGGGATGAGAGATGAAGATTTGATTCTGAAATCAGGAATACAAATTTTTTTCAGGTAAAATAAGGACAATGGCAGCAATTCCACTGAGCTTACAAAACAGGCTTTTCTTTAAAAAAAACGTTTATTGGCCTTCAGAAATATTTTTTCAGTGATTTTGCACTTGCAGAAAAGCAGCAGAGCTCTGTTCTTGTGAACGCCAGTGTGCACCATCAGAGGTTATGCTACAACTTGGGAAAAAAATTTTCCCTACCTGTGCAGAAAAAGAAAAACACTGTGTGCGTTAAACGTTTATTATACAACATGATCTCACTGCACAATCTCCTTGTGTAATGACAGCAAGAGAAAAACATGAAACATCACGTGACAGAAAACTGTAAGCCAGGTTCTTAAGTTTTGTCTTAAATTACAGCGTACGTACCTTTAAAGTTAGAATTACCCCCAGATCAATCACTGAGTACAAGCAGGTCCCCTATTTCTTTAAGCATACTGGGTTTAGAAGACAACCAACTTTTAACTGCTTGGTTTGCCCTAACCTGAAATGCTTCAGAAGCCACTAAGTACACTAACAAATGATAGTGGTATAAGTGAGTAGTAGTTACTTTAGCACCCATTATAGAATTCAGGGTGGACGTCAATGTTTTGACCATTAATTGTCCTTGCATCTTTAACACAGGCTGGCATTACTGCATCAGTTCAGTGTTCACTCTCGGGCTTAAGCAGTACTGTGTAAGTATTGTCTCTCAGGGATCCGTATTAGAGCAGTGTACCAGGTCAGTGATCCCAGCCTTCTGTTTGTGCAAAGGCTGGCAGGGACTCTAGAAGCAAATGTGCTGGCTCCTCAGACAGCCTGCAGCAAAGGCAGCTCCAGTCATTAAATAGCCTTTGATTCAACCCTTAACATATGCCTTTGTTTGCTGTATATTCTGTGCATATAAATAAGGGTGTCTAGAGAAACTGGATATGAAAATATCTGTCATCAATTTGGTTTTTAGGGCTCCTAGGCTTAGTGTGCTATTCAAGAATAGGCAGAGTTGCCACTGCCAGTGAAAGGAAGAGAGCTCTGAGGCAGGAAGACAGCCCTGTGCTGCTCTGCTGTGCTGTTTTAACAGACCACCTCAAGCACACAAGACAGCTCTAGCCAAATACTGATGAGAGAGATTGGAAGAAAGTAGGAGGTT